AAATAGACTTACCATTTGATGTCTTCTTTCTTCTAAAATCTTCTTTTTTCAGCCCCAAAAAAGGCCAAAAAAAAAAAAAAAAAGTAGAAACGTGTGATAGGGTACATTTGTCTCATTAAACTGATTCTAAAATTAAATGTGCTTGCAGCTATAGATGATATGAAATTAGCACAATAAATAAATTGTATAAAACTAACACTATTTTATTTAATTTATAGTTATTGATTTTTATTATGCAATTTATACCTTTTCTGAAATGCAAAGTTAACTAATGAATGCAATCATTTTAAAAGGTGCGGCCCTCCGCTAACCTCAGCTCCCACAAAGTGGCTCCCGAGCCAAAACAATTGCCCACCCCGATGTAGGTCATAATATTAGGTGCACTTTTGCAGGGTATTTCAATAGACTACGAATGACCCTGTACCTAGTAGGGCAAAACCATCAAGCCACATACGAGGCATTTGGGGCAAAACCATTTAGCTGTGAATTACATAAAAGAACCTGTTGACAGCTTGCCCCCACCTGGCTACTGCCCACACAGCCGGGGCCATATGGACCTCCTGAGACCTTGCGTGCGGGTAATTTAAAAAAAATTCCAGATTAATTTTCCACCTTTCCACACCCGATTACTTCCTGTTGGGATATGTGAAGGAGCGGGTGAATGTGAACAAATCGCGTACACGTGAGCAGCTCAAGGAGAATATCCGTGCAGAAATTCAAGCACTAGAACTTCAAACATTATTTAATGTTATGAACAATGTAATCGAAAGAGCCTGACTTTAAAAGATTTATTTAAAAGATGTCGTCTTCCGTATGAATAGGAACCAGGGTAGCAGTCTGTATGCTTTTCTGAATGCGTTTTTTTCTGGAGATCTGACTCTACTGCGCCAAATAGTAAATAACATTTTGGTGTGACTGTGACTCCGCAGGCTACTGACTAATATTATGTTTCTCTCTCTTTTTTTTTTATCAGAGTTTAACAATACAAGATATGAAAATATGGGGCAAGGTATGAAGGGAATAAGGAAATAAAATACGAAAAAACAGGTGGGCAGGCATCAGCGAAGAGCTACCTGCAGTCACTTGGCAGGTATGGAAAAAGAAAAGGAAAGAGAGAAAGAGTGGTATGGTGATAGAAAGGGAGGATGAAAATAGAAGGAAAGAAATAAGAAAAAAAACAAGGGGTATGGCACCCCCCACCCCCAAGAGGATGAGGGGTTTCCCCCTATTCAGAGTGATGCTGCAATAATAAAAACCACGACAATCCAAATGACGGAATAGCTGGTATAGCGGTTTCCTACAAACATGAGATGAGACTATGTTGAGGGTAAGCAGGAACTGATTTATTGGTAGCCACGACTGGCCTTATATGCAAGTCCCCATGCAAGGGGTTTTCTCTGACATATTCCAGGGGCATTCCCCCCTGGACCTGAGAGGGGACTATGACAAAATACATACTGTACTTATATTGGCTGTCAGGTCCAGGACACTCCTACACAAAACAGTGTAATACCTCCTCTATGCCCGAGAGATAATGGAGTCAGGAACTGTACTAAATTCAATTATCTCCAGGTACAGAAAAAATCCATTTTATAATATCTTGAAACTACCCCCGAAACACATGGAAACCCCACAAAAATCACATCCCCTGCCGACCGCTCAGAATGTTGAGGTAATTGCGGTTACTGAGGTGCAAGCAAGGTTGAAAAGGGTCAATGAGCAGCACACGCCTCCCCTGGGTGGTCTGGCTGTTTGGTAGTTTGTTCAGTATACAATTCAGATGGGTCTCAGTCTCAGATGTTCGGTGAATCCTATATACTGAACTACCCAGTGTAACAAATAAACAGAAATTAACAGTATGATAATCCAGGGATAGGGGATCTGTCATAAGAGGCTTAAACAAGGAGTAGGGGCTTAAGCAAGGTAGTAGGGTTAAACAAAAGGGATAGTGGCTTAAACAAGGGGGTAGGGGGCTAAAACAGGATATAGGGGCTTAAACAAGGGGATATAGGCTTAAACAAGGGGTAGAGGCGTTTAAACAAGGGGTAGGGGCTAAAACAGTGTGATAGGGTTAAAACAAGCAGATGGGGGCTTAAACATGGGGGTAGAGGCTTAAATAATGGGGCAGGGGCTTTTAATGGCTTTAACACGGGGATAGGCATTTAAACAAGGGGTAGGGGCTAAAACAGTGTGATAGGGTTAAAACAAGGGGGTAGAGGCTTAAACAATGGGTTAGAGGCTTAAACAATGGGGTAAGAGTTTAAAAAAGTGAGTAGGGGTTTAAACAAGGGTGTAGGGGGTAAGCAAGGCGATAGTGGCTTAAACAAAGGGATGGGGCTTAAACAAGGGGATAGGGGCTACAACTAGGTTATAGAGGCTAAAAGTAGGGGCTAAAATAGGGGATAGGCACTTAAACAAGGGGGTAAGGGCTTAAATAATGGGAAGGGGCTAAACAAGGGGTAGGGGCTAAAACAGGGTGATGGGGCTAAAACAAGCGGATGGGGGCTTAAACAAGGGGGTAGAGGCTTAAATAATGGGGCAGGGACTAAAACAGGGGATAGGAGCCAAAACAAGGGGATAGGGGCTAAAACAAGAGGGTAGGGGCTAAAAGAAGGGGATAGGGGCTAAAAACAAATGGTAGGGGCTATAATAGGGATAGGCACTTAAACAAGGGGGTAGGGGCTTAAAAAAGTGGGCAGGGGAAGAAAAATGTATAAACTGGATAGACCCCCTATTACCGGAGATATTGGAGATCTCCTCAAAACTTCCAAAGGCCCGCAATGGCATCACAGATTGAAGGTCTGTACCACTCGTCCACCTATTGTCCTCCCCCCCGGCCTAAAGTAACTCATAACTTTCTGATTGGTTGCTTTCAATTAACCAAGCAGAGTGTTGTTATGAGTCAAATTACAGAGCGTGGGAAAATTCCAAAGAACTTTCCCACGCTGTGTAAAATGACACAGAGCACTCTGGTTGGTTTGATTTTTGGTTGGTTGTCAGTCTCTTCATTTACCTCTTCATTTACCTCTCAGAGCACTCTGATTGGTTGGCTTAAACAAACCAATCAGAGAGCCCTGAGCCTAATTGCAGGGCGGGGCAAGGTTTTATAAGCCTTCCCCCGCCCTGCGGAGCTCAGTCTGCGCAGGCAGGGCCCTCCATGGGTGAAGATGGATTAGTTTTTTAGCATCAGGTTTTTTTTTTCGTCTGATTTTTTTTGCACTCTGTTTATTTTTATTTTTTTCAAAGTGCGACAAGTATTATGGTTTTTTTATTTGGCCTTTTTTGGGGCTGAAATATTTTAGAAAAGAGAAGACATCAAATGGTAAGTTTTATTTCTTTTTTTACAGATATTTAGTTATTGTTCCTCCCTCACTATTTTTAGGGTGAGGGGGGCAGGTAGGGGTACAATAATTTCTTTGGGAGGGGGGGTGACTAGGGGTTTGGGGAGGGGGGGTGACTAGGGGTTTGGGGACTAGGGGTTTGGGTAACATTTTTATTTAGGGCCCCCACCCGCCGCTCAGGGGTGGGGGCCAGGGGGGAGGACAAAAGGTTCCCCCCTTATTCTAATTTTAGGACCCCACCCGCCGCTCAGGGGTGGGGGCCGGGGGAGGACAATAGGTCCCCCCCTTAATCTAATTTATCTGCATTATCGTTGAATTACACACTCATGCTACACTTTCTTGCAGATCTTTCAATAGCTGATTTGTTGGGTCACTAGGAAGACTGACAGAAACTCAGCCAAATTGTGTCACGTGGAAGCTCTTATAACCTGATTTAGTGTCAGCAATACAGGAGTCAAATAGCCACTGCATATACAGAACAGAAATCCTCAGGATTCCTCAGAAAAGTGTGATAAAGCACAAAATATTTATTTTGAATGTATTTTATTTAAAAAAATCACACACAAAATGTGTGGCACACAATATATTAAGTAATGGATATGGCAAATCTTAGTTTGGCTGTCAGAAACAAACCGCCACATTCTGTCTGGAGCTTTGACCACATGTAAACAAGTTACGATACAATAATTGTACGAGCTGCGTATTGTAATGTGAACTGACAGCTATGAGACCATTACAAAGCAGACAGAGCATGGCTGTCTGCACCCAGTGTGATATTTCCCGGGAGCTGGATGCTCCCTGTGTTCTCAATGTGAGAAAAAAGAATTCACTTCTTAACTACAGCTGGCGTGACACTTCTAGGACGAGACATGTAGCAATTATATCCTTATTAATCTTCTGGATTTGTGAGAGGTTCGGGAATGGATTGCTGTTCTCCAATGTGCATTATGGCCTCGATTTAATACGCTAATCAAACAATTCAATGTTTTTACAAAAACTTGCCAAATGATTTCTTTACAGAAATCACCAATAAAGTCCGTGGGAATTTTTGTAATTCAATTATTTGGAGGTTTCTCTGACAGTATTGGGTCTTTTGGAAAGACTTTTAAATTGAGACCAATTAGGCTTTTGAAATAATTAAAAATATATTTTTTATAAACTTTTAAAATCATTTAATATTTTTATTTTTTTTATTTAGCCATTTTTGTTCACATACATGCATGACAGTTACATTGATTAAGGCAGTTTAAATTGCGACATGTTAAGAATATCAATACATTTTGTACGTAGGTCACAATCCATTTCACAGTTACTTTTCCATTACATGTTGTGAATTTTTTAACTCAACCTTGGGGAGGTAAACCTGGCTGGGTGGAACCCTGCTGTACATCGGTTTTCTTGCAGCTTCTGGTGCGTCTGTCGTGTGTGCTGGTTTGTGAGCTTAGCCCCGTGTCTTGTCTCTGGAATGTTATGGCACGTGGGCTCTCAGGGAGTTTTGGGAGGTCGGCTTGTTTAGGTCCTGTATTGGGTTGACCTAGTCTTGGGCTCAGTAATGACCGGGGTCTGTGCTAGAGGTAGCCTAGTGCCATCCCATTCTCCCCATGACTTGTTTGGGTATTACATGCTTCTGTTATGGTTGCCGTCTTTACAAGGCTGACTTTATGTGAGCGCAGCTGTCGGCACTTCGGTTGGGTTTGGATCTTTGGTGGTAGGTGTGTTAGTTTCCATCACCTCAGTCCATTTCTCCCAGGCTATTCTCCACACTTTGGACTGTTGGTCCACTGCCAGTCTTGCTGCGCATTCAGAGATTTTATTATGATTTACTAGGTGAATACATTCTTGTATTGTTGGGGGTTCTGTGTTGCGCCACTTTCTGCTAAGTAATGTTAGTGCCGTTATATTTATTTGGTAAGTGAGGTCTGCCATTGTTTTTGTGATTTTTGCGGGGTAGATATGTAATAAGAAGGTTTCTGGATTGTGTGGCATGGTGAGTCCCGTGACCAAGGTTACATGGTCAGCTACTTTTTGCCAGTAATGTGAAAGTTTGGGGCATCCCCACCACGTGTGGATCATGTCTCCTAAGTCATTGAGGCATCTCCAGCATTGATCAGATGCCGTTGGGTGTATCTTGTGTACTCATTTTGGCACTAGGTACCATCGATATAGCAGCTTTTTTGAGAGTTCTATGTGGGATGAACATAGGGTTAATTTTTTGTGGGTGGCAAATTTTTTGTGTAAGCTCCCATGTTTTGTCCGGGAGGTTGAGGTTAAGCTCGCACTCCCAGATTCGAATGAATGGCAGCGTTTTGATATTCTCGTCCTTATTTAGACTTGTGTATAGTAGAGAGATCGTTTAAAATCATATACTATTTTAAAAGATATTTGAATATTTTTTTATATATTGATTTTATTTTTACATATGTTTTTCATATAAAATTGATAACTTTTAATATTTAAAATAGTTTTAAAAGTTTATTCCAAAAATATTATATCATGTCCTTTGTTAGTAATCGTCAGAGGAGCATTGAGGGCACAGTTGTCTGACAACTTACTTGGCAGAGTTCTCACTCTGTATGGAAGGGTTTTATTTTTCTCCTCTAATCTCCCCTTTTTCTATTTTTCTTTTCTTTCTCTCTGTTAGCACACTTGATTTCTCCAAGCACTTTCCATATCCTGAGTGCTGAATTTCTGGGGGTGTTGCTGGGTTCCAGGAATCATCTGTGGCTTAAGCCAAAAGTAAAACTTGTTGACCTCTCCTACAGTCCTTCCAACTGTCCTGATTTTGGCATAAAAAGTCCCTATTTTAGGGCCCTGTCCACCTGTCCTTACTTTGTTCCCTGGTGTTCCCAAAAACAGGAAACCACACACCATACCACACCATTGCGAACCAGAATAGATTATTATTAATGGCGTTTATATAGTGCCAACTTGTTCCACAGCACTTTACAATATTATAATAGGGGGAAATTTAACAATAAATGAGACATTTACAAAATGTAACAGGTACAATAGATTAATAAGGACCCTGATCAAAAGAGCTTACAATCTAGAGCAGCGTTTCCCAATTGGTGTTGCGCAGAGCCCTGTGTGTGTGCTAGTATGTATCTGTGTGTCAAGTTGTATATGTCTGTGTATATGTACCGGTGTGTATCTGTGCCAGTGTGTGTGTCAGTATGTGTGTTTGTGTGTATAAGACTGTGTATGTGTCGGTGTGTTTCTGTTTGTTAATATGTAAGTATGTACGTGGCAGTACACGAACAAACATACCAGCAATCAAACACAACACACAAACATGACATAAAAAGACACCCCTGAACTCTAACTCCAAAATTATATACAAACACTCAAAAACCAATACTACACACAAATATACATATATGCATTTAAAATTCCAAACTACATTCAAACATACCTATTACTGCAGTGAGGGCATTATAGTGCGGCTGGCCTGGCCACAGATGCAGCCGTAAAAGCGCCGCGGTGTGCACTGTAACAATTGATGGGGGGGGAGGTGACTCATGACACTGGCAATCATGGCACACCCCAACCCCCTCTTAGTACGCCACTAGAACAAACAAATCCCTGTATTAAAATGCTAAAATTAGATACAAACACTAACTCTACACACAGAAGCATACCTGCTCCCAAGCACTACAATCTGTTTACTATCTGTAGAAATTAGTGTATATATAGTAAAGAAAATAATAATAATTTGCAAAAAAATAAGACAGTATGCTCTGCTAACTGAAAGGTTTATGCAACGGCGCAAAAAAGTGTTTTTTTTTGGTGCGGGGAGGTTCCACAATGTTGATACAATATGTCAAAGGGTTCCACTGGAAAAATGAATTGGGAACCCCTGATCTAAAGAATATGGGGTATAAAGCCACAATTGGAAGGGAAGAGGAATGTAATTCCTAGAATGGGTTAGCATTTTGGCTACCCCGATGTATAGACTACATTTTATGCTCATTAATCATGTTAAATTATGACAGGTACACCTTAACTCAATAGAAAATCGAGGTGTTGGTACTGCAACCGTACCAAGAACAGAACTGTCTTCTGTATTGATGTACAAGTGCATTGACAACGATGTCATATCTGCATTTACGACCACAGGGAGCAGCTTGAATGTCATCATGGGGTCTTGATACATTTCTCCTATAGACTGTAAGCTTGTTTGAGCAGGGCCCTCTTAAACCTATAGTTTCTGTAAGTTTTCTTGTAATTTTCCAATTTATAGATACATCCCCCCCTCTAATAATATTGTAAAGCGCTACGGAATCTGTTGGTGCTATATAAATTGCGATAATAATAATAATAATAATAATAATAATAATATTGCTACATACCCATATGGAAATGGAAAAAAAATCCTTTGATTGCTGCACTATATTTAAACCACTAGATGGAACTGTTGTATCACATTCTATGCTCAGCATGTGTACTGTGAAAACAGCAGAATGCTATGCTAAGTACACACAATGCCCACAAATAATATTCTCATACGTTATTCATTATCACAGTCCAAAATCCAATCCATTTGAAACTGTATTGGTTTATTGGCATAGCACCAACATATTCTGTAGCATTTAACAACAGGTTAATTAAATATTTAGGTAAATAATGAGAACCTCTTTCAACGAAATGACATTACTGAAAGTGTCTAGTTAAATACACAGGATCACGGACCACGGAATACCTCCCAAGTGCCACTGTCTTGGCAGGACAGGCACAGGTTTAGGCCAAATACATCTGACCCTCTATTCTATATTAATGTAACTCTTATCTAAAAGGTCCCTTTTATTTTATTTACCAAATTGTTTAACAGCACTAAAACTCCCTGCAATGCATCTTTAAACTACAATAAATGTCCAATATAATTCTGTGTTAATTGTGTTAATTAATCTGTGTTATTTATGGTTAATCAAAAATGACATTTTCAGTTAAAGGTACACTATAGTCACCAGAACTACACAGCTTAATGTAGTGGTTCTGGGGTCTATATTCTGTCCCTGCAGACTTTTTATTGTAAATACTGTCTTTTCAGAGAAATGGCAGTGTTTACATTGCTGCCTAGTAACACCTCTACATGTCCACTAGAGGTGCTTCCTGGGTCAGTGCTGTACACTGTGCAGCACCTATGTTCTGCATGGAGGCGCTGAATGTTCCTCAAAGAGATGCATTGATTCAATGTATCTCTATGAGGAGATGCTGATTGAAGCAACGCAGCGTTTTTACGCACATGCGCAATAGCCTCAAAACGCCAGCACTATACTGTCAGGGATACATGTTTGTATTCCTTACACTATAGTGTTCCTACAAATAAATGGTTTTCAGTAGGTCATGAAGTCACCTAAACAATTCCAGATTAGCTCCATGGACACAAATCCAGCCACCTCCACTAAAATGAAAGTGTCCCTTTTTGCCTTTTTGAAGGAACACAAAGTAATACTGCCAGTATGGCCAACAATTTGATGCATTTTACTGTCCATGGGATACAGCTGGCCTTTGTTCTGTTATTTATATATTTATAAAATATTTTACCAGGAAGGATACATTGAGATTTCTCTCGTTTTCACAAGTCCTGGGTCCACAAAACATTATATCGTTGTAATAGGGTACAATAAAAAACAAAAGCAATATTAATATACAACATATACACAATCTCTGAATATAACGTATAACAATCCCGTGATCTGGCTAGCTCTGTTATAGACAAAACAACAATGTATACGCGTTCACTAAAATAACAAGGAGGAAGGCAGCGGTGAACCAGCAAGTATTCACAACCATTGCTAAGATACAAAAATGTGGAAGAAAAAGGTTTGGTAAACCGCGCCAAAGAAGCATGGCTTTATAGCCTTCCCCCGCCCTGCAGAGCTCAGTCTGCGTGGAGCCCTCCATGGGTGAAGATGGATTTTTTTTTTGCGCTCAGGTTTTTTCTTTTTCGTCAGGTTTTTTTTTTTTGCGCTCAGGTTTTTTATTTTATTTTAAGTTCGACGGGCATGATGGTTTTTTATTTGGCCTTTTTGGGGCTGAAAAATGAAGATTTTAGAAAAAAGAAGACGTCAAATGGTAAGTTTCATTTTTCTTTACAGGTTAGTTATTTTATTTCCCCCTCACTATTTTTTAGGGTGAGGGGGGTAGGTACGGGGGTAACTTTTTTTTTTGGTGGGGGGGTGGGTGACTAGGGGCTTGGGGACCCCTAGTCTCCATTGATGGGGGGGGATTTGTCTTAGGGCTCCCATCCGCCGCCCAGTGGTTGGGCCGTGGGGGGAAGACTGTAGGTCCCCCCCCCTCATTATCTTTATGGCCCCCACCCATCGCTCAAGGGTGGGGACGGGGGGGAAGACAGTAAGTTCCCCCCATTGTAATTTATGGCCCCCACCCACTGCGCAGGGGTGGGGGCCGGGGGGGAGGACAGTAGGTTCCCCCCCTCATTATCTTTATGGCCTCCACCCACCGCTCAAGGGTGGGGGCCGGGGGGAGGACAGTAGGTCCCCCCTCATTGTAATTTATGGCCCCCACCCACCGCGCAGGCGTGGGGGCCGGGGGGGAGGACAGTAGGTCCCCCCCATTGTAATTTATGGCCCCCACCCACCGCGCAGGAGTGGGGGCCAGTGGGGGGAGGACAGTAGGTCCCCCCCTCATTATCTTTATGGCCCCCACCCACCGCTCAAGGGTGGGGGCCGGTGGGTGGAGGATAGTAGGTCCCCACCATTGTAATTTATGGCCCTCACCCACCGCACAGAGGTGGGGGCCGAGGGGAGGACAATAGGTCCCCCCCCGATTGTCTATTATGGCTCCCACCCACCGCTCAGGGATGGGGCCAATAGGTTTTTTTTTGTTTTGTTTTTTACAGTGAGCAGCCACTGGCTGCTCACTGTTTACTAGACATGCCCCTACTCGCGGTATATGTGTGGTCA